TGGGCTTCAATTTCCAGCCCCCTTCGTCTCTCAGACACCATAGGCCCTGGAAACATTCCCCAACAATTTGACATTTTCCATGACGTGACGTCCAACACGGGCAACAAAGACCTCCTGATCGACACCAGAACAGCCCCAGAGGTTTCCCACGAACAGGTCATATGCATCCGGGGAGCTCTTAACCCACTTGATAATAACTCCCAACATCCTCGCAAACGCTGGTGTCTTCTGGGGGATTCGGCGGGTGGCGGCAGCCACGTGACAGTATCGTTATATCATTCCCTGTACGCCCGATGTGCGCTTCAAGTTCGATGCATGTATACATATATATATATACATATGTGCGTGCGTGTGTGAAGCATACATCGATTACGCATTCCATTGTTTGAACCAGTACACCCGTATGTCGGATATGCTTACTTGGAGCACTGCATGGACTATCCTCTTGTCTCCCCGTAAGTATCGTTATATGGATTTGCACACACTTGAACTTAGTGTATGTATTGTCGGAACCCCGTGTAAGCAACAAACAAACCCACCTGCATCATTGTTACGCAGGCCCTCCATCGGGTACCTTCTTTGCAGCGTTGTATCATTTGATTTCAATGAAGAACCCGCCCAAAGCACAGATCAATCGCACGACCGAAGAACCGCACAAACGTGATTCATGTACATCTGTCATTTGCATTATAGGTGCTACCTCTCTACAACCTGGGTGGGGCTACGCGGGGCCTAGGTTGCCGAACTTAGACCATCCGCGCAAAACCTGCTGGACGTGGGCCACGGTCGAAGCCAATTATTCAGGGCACGAAGAATACATCCGACATAGAGTTCCGACATCGAACCCCCAAGATTTCAAACATACGCCGCCACCCATCTGAACCGCTGCGTTTTTCAGCGGCGAGCACGGCAGTGGCAGACACTGGGCGGCGTGACAAGATTGGGCGGCATGACGGCGTAACAAACAAGTTCGAACCCCCGGCGCGCCTGACTGAAAACCCTGATGCCCCGGGCTGGTTTGAACCAAGGTCTTTGCAGACCTGGTTGCTACGTACGCCCCCGCCGGAAAAACGGATGGCATGCGACACGCGAGGTCGAGAGCTCACGACGAGACCTTGCCCCCTGCGCACCCCTTGTACTGTGCAGAAAGTGCCACGCGTGCCACGCCCAGCGACCGTGTGACGGATAGAAAACGCAGTGAGAGACCACCACCGTGCAACCCTTGCGAGGCCGAGGCAGTGTCACGCCTGCCACGCCCCCTGACCTTTGAAAGATAAAGACCGCGGTGAAAGACCACCCCCCACGGCTCCCCCTGTGGTGGAGAAAACTCTATGCTTGCCACGCCCCTTGATCCTGAAGCGGATAAAAACCGCGGTGAGGGACAAACCCCTGCGCAGTCAGTGCGCTGCGGAAGCTGCACGCCTGCCACGCTCCGCGACCCTGAGGCGGATAGAGAACGCGGTGAAGGACGACAGCGCCGCGCCTGCAACGTGACGTGGCGCGCGCGTCAAGTGACAGACTAGGTCCGCGCCTGACTGTCTGGTAACGTTCATGATGCGTGTGCGACTGTAGGTGGACGCGTGCATCATGTGGGTGCGGTGCATTGTGTTGCGCGCGTACGACGCGCGTGCAAAAGTGCACGAGCGAGGAGGAGGAAAAGGAAGAAGGGCGTGCGGGGCGGACGTGGGCATGTGTGCGCGTTTTCCCCCTTGGAATGCCTTCTGCTATCTGCGCAGATATGATTGCACCGCTGGGTGGCGCGAGTGCATTTTCGGCCCCCCGGAAGGGCATCCTGGCACTTGCCACCTACGATCGCCCAAGCGGGCGTGAGGCAGGAACAAAAACACAATGCTGCCGCGCTTCTGCGTCGGCGCGCGGCGCGCAGCTGGATGCCAGTAAATGCCGCGCAACTAAGTGCTATTCGCTAGCGGGCGTGCCAGTTCAGCAGAAACAAGCAAGCCGACGAAGCGGGGGGCGAAGTAGTCGATACTTCATCCAACGCGCAAGGACAGGAGAAGCGCCGCGCCACGTCGGCGGCCCCGACGCCGTCAGCCTCTGGAGCTGGAAGCACTAGGCAGGCACTTGCGAGGAGAAGGTCTCGGCCCTGAGCCCCGCGGACGCGACGCCCCCAGCCCCTGAAGCTGAGGGCGCCCTTGTCCTTGCCGGCGACGTACGAGTCACGCTCTTCGCAGGCGTCGTAGGCGTCTCTTGCCCGCGTCATTGGTCCCGACGTGGTTTGGTTTGTCTTGGTCTCCGTCGGGGCGCGCCGCGTTGACGGACCAGTCACGCTCGGTGGACTCGGGCGCGCAGGACGAGCCCGCCGCGCACGCAGGGACCACGACCTTCTCAGCCTCGTCGACCTGCGCCACCTTAGTGAACTTCGAGGGTGGCTCGAACTCCATCTCTTGGTCGTTCTTCATGAGCTCCTCCACCTTCTCGGGCTTGGAGCCGTTCTTGGTGGGCACCTTGCGGAACCGAGTGTTATCCAGGATCGCTGCGTCCTTGCCGACGAACTCGAACTGGCGCATCTCAATATTGTCATTGAAGTGGCCGTTGATGTCGACGATGGCGGCGTCCTGCGCGCCGCGGGCCCGACGCCGCCGCCCCCTCTGCTGCCGTGTGGCCTCCTTCCGGCACTGGGGCAGTGCCTCCGCGCCCTCCCCAAAGAGGTCATGCTGCGCGACGTTCCGGAGCGCCGTCGCCCCGCCGTCGATCTCGATCGACCCGTCACGGACCGCAGCCTCGACCTTCGCTCGCTGGACGGGCTTGATGAGCTCGACCCGTGCCTGGGTCCACCTTCTTGTCCTCGACCTGCAGGTTGCCGCCGCCAGCCCAGGCCGCTCGCCAGAAGGCCACCGTTGTGGCCGCCACCAACTGGCGAGAGCCGCCAGCGCGCACAACAACACCGAGGAAAGACTCCGCCATCGCGTCGGCCATGACCGTGGCCAGCTCGAACCAGGGGCTGGGCGAGCAGGCTGCTCGAGCCAAAATGACAACGGAGATGTGTGCGCGGATGACAACGACACGAAAAAGGGACGAAGGTGCCACGCGGGTAGGACAAAAACATGACGCCACTTCAAACGTGGGATAGGTGATCACCCCAGACTCTGCCATGACCCGTGCACAAGCTTGCTGCCCCAAAAAATATCCGGCTTGCCTTGTACCCTCCACACCCTACAGAACGATATCCACTTTGGACTGCTCGCTGGGACACGAGTAGATAAGCTCGGCAGATTGCGCACTGACCTGCAAGACCCATCAGGGCCGCCATCGGACAACATGCTCTCTGGACGATCAGGCCGCTCCCAAAATTGCAAAGCATTGGTTGGCGCTCGTGCGACCAGGACGTCCGATGCACAACGTGAAGCGTGATGTATCGAGCGCTCGCGAGCAACATTCGCCGAAACACTGGGCCCTCGCCAACGCAGATGAGATCATCTGAGAATGTGCAGTTCGCGATTAGGGAATAAACACATTCAATACGATTGATAGTATCCTGCATGCTTTCCATACCGTCCGCAGTGGACCATCCACAATCTTCAACCTCTGAGCCATCGCCACCTACAGTGCGGGAGTTCTCGCTCGCCTCGCTGGAACCATGAAACACTCGGATCCAACCCCCACCCACGCCACTGATGTCGATAGATGGCCAAATCTGGACACACTGGATCACCTTCAGTTCACTTGTACCGGGCGTTTGCAGAACTGGGTTTATTGGGACCTGGTTCAGCGATGTGCACTGGGGGGCGCCTCCCCCGCCCCTTTCAACTGACCCGGAACTGCCGCCGCCCGAAAAAGCGCAAACTGCGGCAGACCTGCTTTAGTGATGCTGGCAAACTTCGGGGCTCCAGGGCCCTACCACTAAACGGGTCCCCTTACCTGGGGTCCTGGCTAGTCGGCGGTGGACAAACCTCCCTCTAGTAAACCCCCAGATAGTGAAAACGGCCCGGGACCGAAACCAACGGACGTGGACCCGCAAAACTGACGGCCGCGACGCCCTCTCGCGAATCGAAAACGGCCAATTCCTTAATCGACGTGGCAGGATAGGAGGCCGATCAATCTCCGAGCTATACCCGGTTGTACCTCCGCCGCCGTCCGCGGGCGGGCCCGCCGCCACGCTGCTTCTGCCGGCGTCCGCTGGCCTCCTGCGAAGCCGAGCAGGAGCCGCGGGCGAGGCTCTCTCGCGGGCCGGGCGAAGGGGGGGGGATATAGGGGGAAAACAAACCTACCTCGCTTTTGACCACCCTCGCTTCCAAGAGATACCAAACGATGCCAAACTACGGCCTGTACTGGTCAGGCCGCTTGACGAGGAGGCGCGTGGTATGGCTTGGTTTTGCCTGGAAGCAAAAGCGGGGTAGGTAATTCACGCTCTGAGGATAGCCAAGGGGGGGTTTGAGAATCAGCTCATGCAGCCGAGTCTCTCGGCGCCTGCCGGCGACAGGAGGCGCCCATGTATCGAGGAGTGGGCCCGGCGGCGGGGCCGAAACCAGCTGCACGTCGCAGATTTCGTAACCCCCCTTTCCCTATCCCCACCCCTCGCCATCGCTCGGACGTCCATTCCCTGTGTTTTTTTTCTGTTTCGTGCGTGGTTTTTTCGCCAAATGATCAAGGATGCTCCTCGATGGTCCTCGCCGAAGGAAAACTGCACACGTCCGAGCGATGCCAAGCCCCTTCCGTTCGGTCCGACTTTCTGGCATGCAGCAGCCCGCGCACACCGCACCGGAGGGGCCAAGGGGCACAGAAATTATCAAGTACACACAGATCCCAGGATTCCCCATATGTGTCCATATTTTATGGGTTCTCGTCTTCCCCCCCACTGCCCATAGTTTCCAAAACATTTTCTTAGGAGTCGACGATCCATTGTGTCTGTGCGTTCTTTACCCTCCTGACAACTTGCCCCACTTCACTGCAGGCCAGGGGCATCGATACCCGTGCACATCACATATGAGGCCAGGGGCCACGGAGAGGGGGCGGAACCCGAAGTCTCAGAGCGGCGGCGCCTTCACGCGAACCACCAGCGTGTCCTGAGCGCGAAGGCGGGCGGGCGAGGCCGGGAGCGGCGGGAGCGGAGAGCGACGGGAGGGCGGATGGCAAGGCACGGAGGAGGACAGGCACCGAGCGGCCCGCCGGCGGCGCCGCGGCGACTTTTGTGCAGACGGCCGCGGGCCACCGTGGCCATACAGCCCGATCCCGCCACAGTGCTTTTCGATAGTAATATTCACCCGATCGAGCTGAGATCAAGATGGCGAGCGGGAATAAGATCGAATATCACGGGAAAAAATACTAGAGCTCAAACGAATGTTCAAATATTGAGAACGAAATTTTCAACCGACCAGACGAGCAAGGCATGCCATCGACAAGCACTCGTCAGGTGCAGCGCGGCCCAGCTCCGCGAGGCTCCTGCTCTCCCTCCGCGGGTGCTCTGCAGGTCTGCCCATCTTGAAGGGCCCCCAGGACACACAAATAAATGCACACAAATAAAAATATTCCCCATTATTTTTCCCATATTTTCTGGGTTTCTGTCTTCCCCCCCACTTCCCACATTTTCCCATATTTTCTGGGGAATCGAGGATTAATTGTGTCTGTGTGTTTCTTTTCCTCCTGACATCTGTCAAACACGCATGGCCAGCGTAGGCACTCAAGGCTGCAGTCGCGCCCGTGCGGCGGCCGCGCGCGCACACCGAAGCTCCGTGGACTCCCGGGTGACGGAGCAGGCCGAGGGGCGATCTGCAGGAAGGACGAAGATCGGGTCGGGCGAAAGGGGGGGATAGCAAAGGGGGGGTTTGAGAATCAGCTCACGTAGCTGATTTTCTCGGCGCCTCCCGGCGCCGGGAGCCGCCATGTATCGAGGAATGGGCCCCTCGGTGAGACCGAGACCAGCTGCATGCAGCAAATTTCGTAACCCCCCCTTTCCCAATCCCCCCCTTTCGCCCGACCCGAGAAGAAGCGAGCGGCATGCACGGGGCCAGGGCTGGACCGAAACGCTGTGTTTCGTTGCGGTTCCGTTCTGCTGTCCGTTTTGGTCTACCCGTCGTCCTGTGCCTCCCTGCCAAAACAAAAAAAATCTGAAGGGGCCGTGGGACACACAAACAAATACACACACAAATAAAAAGATTCCCCACATGCTTCCAGATGTTTGGGATTTCCGTCTCTCCCTCCCCCCCCCCTACTTCCCGTCGTTTCGCTAATGTTTCTGGGAATCGGCGATTCATTGTGTCTCTGTGGTTTTTTCCCTCCCGTAAAACAAAACACTGCCGAAGTCCAGCAGAAAACACCGTTCAGGTCCGGCCCCGCACGGGGCCGTCGCCGGACCCGGCCCGAAGCGGGGCAGGGCAGTGAGGGCGACGAGGCGACTGCGAGGAGGAGGAGGAGGAGGAGGAGGAGGAGGAGGAGGAGGAGGAGGAGGGAGGAGGAGGGGAGAGGAGGAGGAGGAGGAGGAGGAGGGAGGAGGAGGAGGAGGAGGAGGAGGAGGAGGAGGAGGAGGGGGAGGAGGAGGAGGAAAGCGACGCGGCGCCAGCTGCTGCCGAGGAAAGCGACGCGGCGCGATCGAGGCGACTGCGGGGGGGGCGGCGGCAGCCCGCAGCCCCTGGGGGGCGCACGAGGGCGCCACCCCTTTCGGGTCGGGCGAAAGGGGGGGATAGCAAAGGGGGGGGGTGAGAATCAGCTCACGTAGCCGATCTTCCTGGCGCTTCCCGGCGCCGGAGGTGGCCATGTATCGAGGAATGGGCCCCTCGGTGAGGCCGAAACCAGCTGCATGCAGCAGATTTCGTAACCCCCCCTTTCCCAATCCCCCCCTTTCGCCCGGCCCGACCCTTGCACGGGCCGCGGGGGCAGCTTTCGGTCGGGCCTGTCCCCCTACAGGGGGATTTTCGACGAAAGGAAAGATATATACCCAGGGAATGCCCCCCAAAACGGTCCAAAACAATCCAGACGCAGTCCCCAGACTGCTGGTTCCCCATGTTTGAAGACCCCCCCTGCGTAGGGACAGGCCCGACTGGAGGGTAGGTTCTCCACTCCCGCTCCGAGCAACAGGCCCGCTCGCCCGCGCCTCGGGAGGCCGAGGCGGCCGCCGGGAGGCGGAGGCGGCGGGCCGGCGATGGAGGCGGCGGCGAGCGCCGTCGCAGGGGGACTGCCGCGCCCTCCACGAGGCTCGGGACGGGCTTAGTGGGCCCCGGAAACGGCAGGGCCGTTTTTTCACCGTTTCCGCAAAAAAGGCTCCTTGAAGGTGGAAGCGGCGAAGAAACGGCGCCCGGAAACGGCCACAAAAACGGCTCCAGGATGGGAACCGGAGCGGGAACCCGTAAAAGAACGGCGGCGGAACCGGTAAACAAACGGCGTCAGAACCGGCAAAAAAAAGCAAAACGGAACCGGCAACAAAAACGACCCTGTCGTTTCCAGGGCCCACTAAGGGGACGGGCCCTGGGGCTCGAGAACAAAGACGAAGTCAGCACGAGGACACATTCGGTTGGAGACGGTTTTTTCAGGTTATCCCGGGGGGGTGGGGGGGAGGAGGGGGCAGGCCGATAACCTAACCCTCGCGCTGTGGGCAGCCCTGCATGTGCCCGCGACCCCCCTCCCGCGGACTTGCACAACTGGCAAGGTTAGGTTATCCTGGGGGGAGGGGGTGGCAAGCCCGACAACGCGGGTTATCGGCGGACCCTAAAAAACAGTCTCTTGATCGGCGGCGAGCGAGAGGGGGGAATTGCGAAGGTGAAGTCCTTCCCAGAAGGCGGCGGGACTTCTCAGAAACCCACGCGCTTTCTGGGACGGCTTATTTTTGCGTCTTCCAGGAAGGCTCAGGAGAATTCTCGGAAGGCCTTCTCCTTCTCACTTCCTCCCGGGCTCGCCGCCGAGATAGAGGCACCAACTCAGGGGGCGGAACATCGACCTGGAGCTGGCGATACATCTTTGGATGAACCAAAAGGGGGTCCAGCTGCAAGGGAGTGGCGCAATAGATTTTGGGCAATTGTATCGCAAATGTATTGCGCAGGATAATGGCATTGCATTGTATTGTAATCAATGAATTGCACGCGAATGCCCAGCAATACACTTGCGCCCAGGAATGTATTGCACGCCCCAAATGTATTCCAACCCCACTCATCTATTGCACCAAATCTATTGCACCACCCCCTTGTCGCTGGACTCCCTTCTGGGTCAACCCGACTTCTCCTTCTCCCTTCCCCCCGGGCTCGCCGCCGAGATAGAGGGGGCGGAACATCGACCTGGAGCCGGCGATACATCGCCGACAGACCGGCGACAGGATCCCGACTAGTGACACCGCGATCCTTCGCAGAGATGGCTTACTGTCGGCGGTGCACACACCTCCCTTCAATAAACCACCCTGTAATGAAAACGGCCTAGGACCGAAAACGACAGCCCTGGAACCGCGAAAATGACGGCCGCGACGCCCTCTCGCGAACCGAAAACGGCGAATTCGCTAATCGACGTGTCAGGGTAATTAGGAGGTCTATCAATCTCCGAATCGCTGGGAGCGCTCCCAGAAGGGTGGTCCCGAGGCCAACAGGGCCCACAAGGGCCTCCGCGAGGGCTCGCGAGCGTCGTCGTCGTCGTCGTCTTCGCCCTCCACCTCGGGGACCGACTGACCTGGGTCAATCCAGACCCAGGTCAGCCGTGCCTTGCAGGATCCCGCCAAATCCTGCAGGCTCCTGCAGGCTCCTGCAGGATCCTGCGCCCCCACCCGGGTCGATGCGCCCCTGGCCCCGCAGGATCATTCGAAATCAGGCGCTCTGACGGACCCCCGTTTGCATTGACCCCCGTCTCTTGAGCCCCGACTGACTACCTACCCCCCTGGAAATGGAAGGCTAATTGAGGCCTTCGGTTTGGGTTGGGATGGTTTGGTGGATGTCGGCGGTGGACAAACCTCCCTTTAGTAAACCTCCCCCTAGCGAAAATGGCCTGGGACCGAAACCGACGGACCTGGCCCCTAAAAATGGCGGCCGCGACGCCCTCTCGCGAACCGAAAACGGCCAATTCCTTAATCGACATGTCAGGGTAGGAGGTCTGTCCAACCCCGAGGATGTTGACCGACCACCTTCAGGATCGGCCGCTCCGGTCTTCCCTTCGCGGTACCCGGAGCCTCCCCGTGGCCTGTCGGCCTGTCCGAACGTTCTCCCCTGCGGAAGGCAAACCTGGCAGATCCCCCGTTGGGCCGCGCACCCACAAGGGCCCATCAGGCCACCACGAGGGCCCAGTCGCCGTCGCCGTCGTCGTCGTCGTCGCGAGCGTCGTCGTCATCGTCGTCGTCGTCGTCCTCGTGGTCGTCGTCGTCGTCGTCGTCGTCGCGAGCGTCGTCGTCGTCGTCGTCGGCGTCGTCGGCGTCGTCGTTGTCGTCGTTGTCGTCTTCGCCCTCCACCTTCAGGATCGGCGGCTCCGGCCGTGCCTTGGCAATGCTCTGGATCCTCCTCCTGGGGAGCGCTTCTCCGAGCGTTCCCCTGCGGAGAGGGCGGGCCCGGCGGACCTCCCATGGGCCGCGCGCCACGGGAGGCCACCCCAGCAGCCCGCAGGTTCAGAATCGGCGGCGAGCGGGAAGGGGGGAAGCCTTCACCCCTCCCCCTACTACCGGCGGCGACGATAGGGGCGAATAGCCCAGGGGCGGGCACTGCACGTATTCGCCCGGAAGCCTTGTCGAAGACATAGATCATCGGCGCACCTGAATACATGGATTGATCTCCCCTGGGCTATTCGCCCCCATCGTCGCCCCTGAAGCCTAATTGCCCCCGTCTGCGCGCCGCCAGTGCTTGGAGGGTCCCCTGCGCGCGAATGGCCAGGGCGCAGGTCAGGGGGTTCCGAGTCGCCCCCGAGGACACCGAGAGGAGGCCTCCCGAAGCCTCGTGCGCCTGTGCTGTCTGGTCCTTCTCGCTGCTCTACAGATTCCAAGTGGACTCCTGCGGCAGTCCCGTGGCAAACCTGTGGCGGTCCCGCGAATCGGCCGCGGGCCCGGGGGGGGGAAAAGAGAATGGGGCGGGCCTGCTCGGAAGGCTCGGAAGTCCCAGGGTCTTCCGAGAAGTGTCCGAAGCCTTCCCCGAAGACACCGAAGCCTTCTCTCAGTCCTTCTCGCTTCCCCCCCCCTCGCCCGCCGCCGACAGAAGCAATGCCTGCGTGAACGTTCGAAGGACCACGCAGATTTCTTGGATCGGCGCTGGACCCTCTCTTTTGGGCGCGCGGAGCGCGCCAGGGGCGGCTCCAGAGGCGCCGCAAGTGGGATCCAACGGCGATCCAAGGAAACAGCGCGAAGCTCCAAAGTTTCATGTTGATGCAATAGGTCGTCTAATTTCAAGATTGACAGATCATCCTTTCGCAGAGCGCACGACGTTCATAAACACACGAACGCATCTGGCGAGTCGCACGTCGAATACCAACACCGACTGGGGACTGCACCAGTACACTCGTACTTGGATCACCGCTGTGGTTGGGATGGATCAGTTCGAAGTAGAGGCCTATGACGCTTACATCTGGCCAAATCTAGCTTACACGTGGGTGGCAAGTGCTCTTAGCGGTTTACGGGGGGGCGAAGATCTGGGCTATGTTGTCCGAGTCCACTTCGAAGACGGGCCTCGCCCTTTGGAAGACGCTGGGGGTATGTGTAACGCAGAATGCAGCGCCCGGAAAAAAAGCGGCACGAAGGCAACCAACAGGCGTGCTGAGCACGCGGGGGTCTGTGTAACCAGCTTTTGAATTAGGTTTGGCCGTATAGATGCATATGTGTATATATATATATGTACACACATATATAAATATATATATATATATATATATATATATATATATATGTGCACATATATAAAAATACTAGAACCATCGCGCGCGCTTCGCGCGCGCTCAAGTTCTAGCTAGCTTCTTGGGGCCTCCTCGGAGCATCCTGGACTGCTTCTTGAAGTCGTCATGGGACCTTCTTGGCATGTCCTCGGGGGCCTCTAAGAAAGAGTTTTGAAGCCTTTTGGGTGCCGTCTTGGGGCCTCTAAGAACCTCTTTTGGGCTTCTTGGGGGCCTCTTGGGGCCTCTTGGGGGCCTCTTGGGGCCTCTTGGGGGCCTCTTGGGGCCTCTTGGGGGCTTCCTGGGGGCATCTTGGGGCCTCTTGGGGGCATCTTGGGGCGGAGAGCTTGAGTTTTCAGTTCGCGTTCCCTCTCTTGGGCCCCTCTTGGGGCCTTCTTGGGACCCTCTCGCGCCGCCTTGGGCGGTTCTGGGGCCGTCTCGGGGCTCTCTCGGGCCGTCTTGGGCCCTCTTGGGGGCCTCTTTGGCCGTCTTGGAGCGGTTTGGGGGCCTCTTGGGCGGTGCTTTAGCGCCGGGAACACGAAACAGCGAGAGTGCAAAAAAACATTGAAAAAACAATGAAAATCAACGGTTTTGCCCCTCTCGGGGCGCTCTTCGGCGGCATCTTAAAGGCCTCTTGGGGCGTCTTGGGGGCCTCCGGTGCAATTTAAACGCATCGTGCGTCGACGGAGACCCTGGACGTCGTCTTGGGGGTGTCTCGAGACCGCCTGGGGCCGCCGAGATTGCTGTCTGAAGGCTCCCCGAGGCGATTTTACGCCTCCCACAGGCGGGCCCGGCCCCCCGGGGCCCACATTTGTGGTCGAGGTCCCGGCCCCGGGCCCCCGGACCCGGTGCGCCGTTATGTATATATATATATATATATATGAACCATTCGCATCCACTTCTAGACACCTACCCCCTTGGCAACCTTCAACGTGTGATCCAGGTAATTCTGCCAGTGTCGAAGGAGCCCGCTGAGATTTTCTCAGTGGGCCATTCTGGGAGGGAGAAGGAGGAAGAGGAGGAGTAGGAGGAGGAGGAGGAAGAGGAGGTGCAGGAGGAGGAGGAGGAGCAGGAGGAGGAGGAGGAGGAGGGGGAAGAGGTGGAGGAGGAGGGGGAGGAGGAGGAGGAGAGGGGGAGGCCGCAAGGACGGGGCACGGCGGAAGGAGGGGGTAAGGCCCCCGAAGAGGACGACGACGACGGCGAGGGCGACGCAGCGGCAGGGGCGCGCAGCAGGCGGCGCGCGCGGGCGGCGGCTGCGCTCCGGCGCCAGCGCCAGCAGCAGCTCCAGGCCGTGCACGCCGCCCGCATACCGCGTGGGCGCCAGGGCGGCCAGGAAGACGGTCCCGCGCCTGCCGCGCCGGGGGAGCGGCGAGCGCTCGCGCGGGCGCGCGGGAGCGCGCGCGCGCGCGCGCCGCGCCGCCAGGGACTCGGCGCCCCTCGGGATGGGGACTCCACGGGCGGGCGCCGAGGTGCCCGCGTGAACGTTGCCTGGCTCGGCGCGCCGACGATGGGCGGAAGGGGGGCGGGGAGGGGGGGCGTCTGGCTCCGGACCTCCGCTTCATGCGACTGTTTGCAGCAGTGCGTCCCATGGGGGCGGGACTCCACCTGCTCGCAGGCGCCAAAAACAGCCAAGACCTACTGCCCGAAGGGGGGGGAGGGCCCGCGCCGATCGGCAAAACAACAAAGAAGACAACGAGGATCTCGTGATCGCCTGTTTAGGCCTACTGGGAACTCTTCGTCGCCTCTGGGTGCCCCTGCGCCCAGGATCGATCGGGTCGTCTCTTTGTTGTCAGGCCACCCCTGGGGGGTGCTCGAGGCCAACCCTGTAACGGGTGCTTTGGCCAGCAACCTGGCGGACGCAACTTCCCCAACGCGGGTGCCCAGAGAATGATGGGCCTGTTCTTCACCACCACCACCAGAAGTTGGAGGTGGAAAGGAGGTGGAGGACGAGTAGGAGGAGGAGGAGGAGGAGGAGGAGGAGGAGGAGGAGGAGGAGGAGAACGAACAGGAGAATGAGGAGGAGGAGGAGGTGGAGGAGATGGAGGAGAAGGACCCCCTCCCCCTCAAACTTATGGTGGTGGTGGTGGTAGAAAACCTGAAGCCCTGAAGTGTCACCTGTCGGCGGGTTCCAAAAGCACCCGCCATTTGGTACCCCTTACGGTGCCGCCGAGGGGCGGCGTCCTCGCGCCCGCAGGCAGCCCCGCGCGCGGGGTGTGCCAGCAGAGCGGCGCGGCCGCTCGAGCACGCTGGCGTTGGACGTGGGCACGGCGCATGCTGGCCCCGCAGGCGGCAGTCGGCCCGCTGTGCCAAAGGGGGCTGCGTTCGCAGGGGCACCGACAGCAACACCTGTTCCAGGAAGAAGATGTATCCTACACGACTGGGAATATCTATATATATATATATGTATATATTGCATCTTCCTCTTCCTATGTTTTTGCAAGCCCGGTGGGGGGGGGGGGGGGGGAAACCGCCCCCCCCCCCCCCCCCGAACAAAAAAAACTGGATTCCCGGGATCTGGGGTTCTCGGGCTCCCTTGGACGTCCTTGGAAAAGGTCACCCGGCTTTCCGGGTCTCCACAAACGCCTTGCCAGCAGACCGAGGGCGATCAGAGGGGTCATCACAAAGGCTCAAGGGAGGCCCCAGACAGCACAAGAGCGCCCCAAGAGGGACTCCAATTGCTTCAGGACGACCCAGAAGACCCCCAAAGCACACCAAAAATCTGTCCAAGGGGCCTTCAAAACACAATAATCGTCCCATTCCCTTCGTAAAACTTACAATTTTAGCATATTCGCCTTTTGGATTTCTTCAGCTTTCAAGACGGCTTCAAAGTCCCGAGATCACCTCAAGACGCCCCAAACGGCCCCCGAGAAAGCTTCAAGACGGCCGAGCCGGGCCCCACGATCGCCCACGAGAGCCCTAAGACAGCCCATAATGGACCCAAGAGGCCCCCCAAGGGCTCCCAGCACAGACCCAAAAGGGCCATGGGAGGTCCCCGGAAGTGCCCAAGATGGGTCCAAAGGGAGCTCCAGCGGGCTCAAGCTCCCCAAGACGGCCCAAGAAGGCCCCAGGACGGCCCATGAAGGCGCCAAAACAGACCACGAGGGCCCCGAAAACACCCCCACGATGTTTCCGAATGCCAACATTCATTGATTTTGCTCCCATGACATGGTCATGTCTGATTGCTCCCTGAGCAGCTGGACAGGCCACTACCGCCTGAGATACGCATATGTATGCGAACCCTAAATGTACACACATATGGGCGTGCACCGACAAAGCACGTACGAGTTGCATATGCATGTTCAGACCATTACACACATACATTTATATGTACATATGCACGCTGCATACACACAGACAACAATATAAGTATGTTGTATACACCTAGACATATATACGGAACGTGCATGCGCGTGCGCGTGTATAATGCATGCGCGCATGTGGGCACGCACGCATTCCGCTTGCGTGCGGAACTCAAAGGACCAAGGTGCATGGCGCGCAGCGCTAATGCAGTCTTGTATATATAGATATATGCATGAAGGGGCCCTGGGACACACAAAGAAAAACACACACACACACACACACACGCGTAACAGGAATCCCCATAGTTTCCTATATGTTCTGGGTGGTTGTCTTCCCCCCACTTCCCATATGTTCCCATGGTTTCTGGGGAATCGACGAGTAATCGTATGTTTTTTTTTCCCCTCCTGAATACAAACGTGCAGAGGTCCGCGATGATCTCTGGGATCGGCGCTGGAGCCGCCCTGGCCAGCAAAGCGCGCCAGGGGTGGCGCTGGAAGCGCCGCCGAGGAGGTCCAGCGAACGTCCCAGCGACCCGGCCGGACCTCAGAACGTCTACAGTTGGGCAGCTCTGCCTTGCTCGTGAGAAAGCAGGTTGGAATCTGGGGGTCTAACCTTGGGCGTGGCTTAATGGGGGGGTCACAAATGGGGGGGTCAGAAAAGGTCCCCTTTCGTGCCCCTTTCGGGCCCCTCCAGAGCCCCAGGGGGCTCGTTTAGGTACCGTTTGGGTACCTTTTCGGGCCACCCTCGCCACCCCCCCATGTATGACCCCCCTATTACGAAACGCCCAATAACCAGAACGCTCCCCCCCCGCCGGGGGCATGTAACGGTGCGTCATTGGGCGGCCATCCAATCAGAGGCTTCGGAGCCTGCCTGGTGGCGGCACCGACGTGAGCAGTGAGGGTTTGAGAGTGTGCTCTCTGCGCGAATCCCAGTGCGCGCACTAAACACATACGCGCCAGATGGCCATCCATCTCCCACATCGCATTCCAGCCAGCTCCTCCTGCTCCGAGCTACGAGCTAATTGCCATATAGTTTGAGTTCGTCGAACGCAGACTCCTCCTCCTGATCCTCCTCCTCCTCCTCCTCCTCCTCCTCCTCCTCCTCCTACTCGGGTCATGCTGCTGATCCTGATGCTTCTCATCGTCGAACTCATCCCCTCCCCCCGCCCTCCCCCCGACCGAATTGGGTCCTCGACTGGCCTCGCCTCTACCCCCCTCGAGGCCTCGGATCCACCGAGAACGTCCCCGTGGACATGGTCTCCGTGTCGTCCACCAGGTCCTCGTCCATGTTGTCGCTGCGGGGGGACGGGCGGGAGCGGGTTGGGAAGAATTCAACCGCACCCGCAGAGGGCGCCAGGCGGACTGGATGCCGGAAGGGGGCGGGACGGACGGCAGGGGGAGGAAAAGAGGGAACGCGGGCATGGGACTGGAGGCCAGAGATCGCGCCGCATCGCTCGTGCATCGGCGATGCATCGGCGATGCTTCGGCGAAGCTTCGGCGACGCATAGGCGCCGTCGGCGTGGGGAAAATCAGGCCCCACTTCCAGCCGCATCGCCGATGCAGCGGCCATGCGGCGCGATCCGTCGACCCCACCCACTGGGGCACCAGTTGTTGGGAGGCCTGGATGGACGCCGGCGGGGAAGGAGACAAACAGGGCGGGTACCGCACTGGCCCGTGCCCGTGCCCGTGCGCCGAAGAAGTTGCGGGGTAGGAGGAGGAGGAGGAGGAGGAGGAGGAGGAGGAGGAGGAGGAGGAGGAGGAGGAGGTGGAGGAGGAGGAGGAGGGCTCACAGGCCCCCGAGGCCCCTCGGAGCCCACAGCCCAACACATTCTGCAAGGCGCACCCCCCTGAAGTGGAATTCAGGTGGGCTCCGAGCCCGGCTAGTAGTTCTAGCTGGTGCACACTTATGATTATTCTTATTGTTAGTACTAGTAGGATTATTAGCACTAGTATTGTGATTAGTTGTCTTGTTCTTCTTCTTCTTCTTCGAACGCATCGTGGCCGTTGCCAAGAAAAGGTGTCTGGGAAACCTCTTTGGCGAGGGGGGGAACGAACTGAGAAGGAGCAACCCTTCTCAGAAGGCGGCGGGGCTTCTCACAGAAGGCCCCGCCGCCTTCTGAGGGTTCTGTTTTTGCGTCTGCGGCAGGAAGGCTTAGAGAACTTCTCAGAAGGCCCGGGGAATGCAGAGCCGTCCGCGAAGGCCCGCCCCTTCTTGCTTCCCCCCTTCGCTCGCCGCCGATGCTCCTCGCCAATATTTTAACGTTACTTGGGCTCCGACCCGTCATGCCCTTAGGGGTCGACCCACCGACCGACCGAGCGAGGTGGACGAGGAGCAGCAGCAGCACTCAAGCCCTTCAAGCCGTCTGTGTTCCACAGGAAAACAGAAGCGTGCCTCGGGCTGGGGCCGTTAAAGCCTTGCCTAACCCCCTTTCGACGATTTGCGATGGATGAGGTGAGGGACGAGGAGGGGAGGAGGGGGGTGAGGACGAGGCCTCGTACTCCCCCTCCACCCCCCCATCGTGCTCCTGCCTCCCACCACCAACCACCATCGTTCGGCGGCCTCCTCCTCCACCTTCCACCACCGCTCCGCGCGCCAGCCGAGCCCAAGCAGCTGGAGGGTGATACAAGGCATACAGTCGGACTTGATTGGAGAGGACACGCGAGAGGACACAAGACCCTTCCGAGGGCCACGTTGCCACAAAAATGCAGGAGACATGGGCCGCAAGACGCAGGACACGAAGCTACCCTTGCTCTGGCAGGGTCGACCAAATCCCACCAGCCCTTTGGGCGTGAGTGGTTTAGGGAGCCCGCTCTGTTCTCAACCCCCTTCTTCCCCTTCGAGGAGGGGTTTACCCCTCCCCCTACCCCCTCCCCCTGGGCCTGGAGAGGTCCTGCCGCGGGTCGTTGGAGGGGTCTTTTTCGACTCCTGGGAGGGCTAAAATTCGACACCCCTCACGAGGATCGTGGCCCCGAAGGGGGAGGGAGACAAATGCTCGCCTCTTCTTTGAAGCGACAATCATTGATTTTACTAAGGTTTTGGCCCCATGTTGGCCTTCTGCGGGGGCAGCGCTAATTAAAGCTCCCCTCTTCTTTGAAGCCAAAATCATTGATTTTACTGGGGTTTTGGCCCCAGTTTGGCCTTCTGAGGGGGCAGCGCTAATTGAAGCTTCCCTCTCCTTTGATCGATTTCCTCCAAGATGGCCCCAAGAAGCGCCCAGGAGGCACAAAGAGGCCCCAAGATGGCCCCAAGATGGCCCCAAGAGGCCCCCAGGAGGCCCCCAAGAGGATCCCAAACGGCCCAAAGAGACCCCCCCAGGCACCCAAGACGCCGAAAAGCCCCTCAGGACGACCCTCTACTCGCCTGGCCGTCGTTTCTGGACGGGCTGGTGGGGATACGCGAAGCGTAAAGAATTACTAATCCGGGCCGCCTGTGGCTACCCGCGCCGCTGACGAGCACGCGATCGGGCCCGGGAGGAGCACCATCGCTCGGACATCCATTTCCCGTGCATGTTTCGGTCTCGTGCGTGTTTATTTTTTGCTCGATGCTCCAGGATGTTCCTCGATGGTTCTGTCGGGCAATAGTTATATCCACATCCAGTGCGTCTTGGAGTCTCGGGCTCTCTTCCCCAGAAACGGGAGACGCACTGGATACGGATAAGAGTCTGGCCCCAAGAGGCTTGATGCTATCCATATCCAGTGCGCCTCGGCGTTGCGGCACCTCTCCCCAAAAAGTCCAAGACTCCCTGGATGTGGATAGAAGTACTGCCCGCAGTTCTCGCCGAGAAAAACATGCACACGTCCGAGCGATGCCAAAGGGTGCGCTTTCTCCCGTCGGGCACGAGGGGAGCCGGCGCGCGGGCGCCAGCCGCCCGCGGCGCAGGGGGAGCGCCTTCCCCCCCCCCCCGCCCCCCTTGCCGTCGCTCGGACGTCCATGTCCCGTGCATGCCTCGCTTTCGCGCGTGCTTTGTCTTGCTCGATGGTCCAGGATGGTCCTCGCAAGCGTACACGCGTCCGAGCGATGCCAGGCCCCGAAGCAGGAATCGCCAGCGACGCCCGGTGCGGCGGCGGAGCGCACGGGGTGCTGCACGGGATCGCGGCACGTCGCTGCTCCGCGCTCGCGCGCCTCGATCCGTGTCTGCTCGTTGCGTCGGCACGAAATCCCGGAGGCCCGCCGTCTTGTCGTCGCGGGGAGATCCGACCTCCCTGCGCTGCTCGGTGTCGTGCTGTTCCTGCCGCAAGCTGGCCCAAGGTGCTCCTCGATGGTCCCTGCCGAGAAGGCGCGCACGCCCGCGCGACGCCAAGTATGGGCGGTGCGCACAGGGGGGTGGAGGGAGGGGGGAGGGCTTCTTAGAAGGAGGGTGCTTCTTAGAAGGCGCCGGCCTTACATCTGTAGATAAGAAACCGCGCCTTGCAAGAAGCAGCGGTGCTTCTAAGAAGCCCCCCCCCCCCCCCCCACCCCCCTCTGCGCGTGGCTGAAAGTAAGTATTCCTCATGTGATTCGCAAGCTCAGGACCTAAGCTCGGGGCCTTGTCTGCAGATGCATCGGGCGAAGCCGCCGAGATCTATCACCCCTGCTGCAAAGACGGGGATCTCGGTGAGGCCACGCCTTCAATGTGTTATCAGGGTTAGGGGTTCTAGTGCCCTCGTAACTCGATGGTCCTCGCCTTAGGTCGGTCATGTTCCCCAGCAGGCTGATTTTGGACAGAACACAAAACATAGTCAACAAACATTCAAAACATACCAAACAGATAAAAATTGTCCCAGACTATTTTTTTGACTATGTTTGAACATTCCTCCTGTAGAGGCACATGCCCGACTGAAGGGTAGGGGGAGACGGGAAGGCGTCTCAGAAGCACCCTGCTTCTTAGAAGGCCCCACCCCTTAATGCCTATAGGTCAGGCCAGCGCCTTCTGAGAAGCAGGGGTGCTTCTAAGAAGCCGTCCCCCCTCCCCCATATCCCCCCTCCCCGCGTGGCCGCCAGCTGCGGACGCGGGGGGCGGGCGCTGCTGGCGCGCGAGCAGCGCAAGGGCGGTCCTAAGTCGAAGCCAGGACGAGGACAACCTCGGGCGAGGATCCATCCAGAATCTCTGATAGCCAGCGGCTTTGGAGGATGTCTCGGGCGCCGCGGCCTCCTCAGAGCGTTCCGGAACGCTTTCAGAGCGACCCGGAACGCCCTGGCACGGATTATCCTCGTCCTAGCCCCGTCCGAGTCTGCCTCGAGTTTAGGGGGCAAACAACCCTACCTCGCTTTTGACCACCCTCGCTTCCAAGAGATACCAAGCGATGCCAAACTACAACCTGTACTGGTCAGGCCGCTTGACGAGGAGGCGCGTGGTATGACTTGGTTTTGCCTGGAAGCGAAAGCGGGGTAGGTAATTCACGCTCTGAGAGTTGTCAGAGCAGATCGGACCAGGACGCGCGCCGGAGCGCGGTGGCGTCGGAAGAGGTCGGGTTGTGGCCGCGCCAGGGGTGAACTGGAGCGCCACACGGAAACGCATAGTGGCATAAGAGCAACAGGACTGCTCTCAGAACTGGCCGAAAGCAAGGCGGCCTCGGCCGGAAGGGCTCGATGATCGTCCAAACCACGCACGGCTCCCAGAATACTGCCGGGTGGGACTCTCGGGCCGGGCGAAAGGGGGGGATGGCAAAGGGGGGGTTTGAGAATCAGCTCACGTAGCTGATTTTCAGGGCGCCTCCCCACGCCGGAGGCGGCCATGTATATCGAGGCATGGGCCCCTCGGTGAGGCCGAAACCAGCTGCATGCAGCCAATCTCGTACCCCCCCCTTTTCGGCGGTGGACAAACCTCCCTTTAGTAAACCTCCCTTTAGGAATGGGCCCGGCGGCGGGGCCGAAACCAGCTGCATGCAGCAGATTTCGTACCCCCCCTTCTTTCCCGAACTCCCCCCCCTGTCGTCCGGCCCGAGACTCGAGGCAGACCGGGACGCTTCGTCTCTGCCTCCATCTACTCGCCATCGCTCGGACGTCCATTCCTTGTGTTTTTGGTAGGTTTCGTCCGTGGTTTTTTCGCCAAGTGATCAAGGATGCTCCTCGACGGTCCTCGCCGAAGGAAACATGCACACGTCCGAGCGATGCCGGGGTCTAGGGGAACGAAAAATCACACAGAGATGCAAACTTGGAGGTCCCTACGGATTTCTCGGATCGGCGCTGGGGCCCCCGGGGCGATCCGAGAAACCCGCGCGGACCTCCGAATTTTTTATGCTTATGCCATCTTCCGTTTCCCTTGAATCGGGCCGCGCCAGATGGTCGGAACGTCGGGATCGAATCGG